ATTCAATTTTTTCGTTGATGCCAGCTAACTTAAAAATGCTCGAGATCTAGTATTATCTATAAACTATAAAATAAACTCTTTAAACGAAATTTCATGTAACCCTAACCTTGGGAGATTATTCAGATGAACAAAGTTCAAATTTTGACGATTTTGCGTCGCCTAAAATCATGTCCGATTGAGCCCAAATTTTGCATAGGGTCTTTTTTCGAGGCAATGAACTTTTTCTGTATGGCTGGTTTGAAAAATTCGATGGTCACTTTTTCCATATATTTCTCGGCACCCAATATTCATGGTATTTTCTGGTATAAATATATTGACATCACGAAGAAAAAAGGCAATGATTTTTTTTTGTATTAACATGATCATGATTTAGGCCTTAAGACCAGCAAATTACAATTCGGAATTTTCTGGTTTTTTTCTCGATTTTTCCCGGAATTTGTCTTCATCTAGGACAAAAATCTGCTGTCTAAGTAATCACGGAGAAGAAATTCGTTAGGTTAAAATAACAATCCTAATACACTGGAGTCGCTTTTTACGCGGGTAATACGTCCCGCGTAAAAAAAAAACGCGTAAAAAAAACGCGTAAATTCCGGAATTTGCGTAAAAAAAAAGCGTAAAAAAAAGACCGTGTAAAAATTAACCGCGTAAACAGCGACTCTAGTGTATAACGATAAACCGCGTAAATTCTGAAATCCGCGTAAAAAAAAACCAAAATCCGCGTAAAAAAAACCGCGTACATTCCGAAATCCACGTAAAAAAACCGTGTAAATTCCGAAATCCGCGTAAAAAAACCGCGTAAAAAACCGTGTAAAAAAACCACGCAAAAAGTGTCCAGTGTAGTTACTTTCACATGGAAAAATATTGTTGTTTGAAAGAAACCTATAGTTATTCCAACAAAAATTTGACCGTCGACCAGGCTTGCTTCCACTCACTTGCTATAAAAACATGATTTTCTGAATTTTGAAATCATTAGATGTTATAATCATATTTTGTTCTTGTTAGATACAAGAAGAGGTTGAAAGGCAAGTTTTTGACAAATTTGCTTTCAGATAGTCACAATCAGCGATTTTGCGACTCACGAGCGCTCACTCTGAGTGAACGCTCACGAATCATAAGATCGCTGATTGTAACACTCTGGTAGCGAAATTGACAGATTTTATGAGTCAAACACTTGCTTTTCAACCTCTTCTTGTATCTAACAAGTACAAAATATCATTATAACATCTAATGATTTTAAAAATCAGGAAATCATTTTTTTATAGCAAGTGAGTGGAATCAACCCTGCTGTCGACTCAATCATATCTACCTAATAGATTCAACTGTTCATTTTATACTCAATTCAACTATAACTTTGATCAATTATAACAACCGTCAAATGTAATTTATTTATAAAATTTTGTTTCAACTGATCATCATAAATCCACATACTTTTAACTTGTGATGCGTAGAGCAGGCGATAAGATAGCTGGCTCTCACGCAGATGAACACGGTTCGAATCTAAGTTGAATGTTCTTGTTCACTTAATGATTTTGCAGTTGTGTTTTTGAGATCGATAAAGAAGCAAAACAAACTTCCTTAATATGTCGATAATGAAGAGCAGTTCGTTTAATGAACATTATAAAATTTTGCTTTACTAATAAAAGTTTTCTTGAATCAACTAAAGCATAGTTGTATTTTGAAGTTTGACGTTTGTTCATCTACTGAAAAATATTGTTGAGCCAACCGAGTAGCCAACTATGGACTATAGTAGTTGCCCTCTATATATAGTCAAATCAACTATAGTTTCGGGTTATCTCTAAAACAATTGAACAATATAGTTATTTTGACTGGAAAAATAATTGCGTCTGCTAAAATTTGTTCTCTGGGCGCTATGCAAGGCGATATTTACGATCGACAAATCGCCTACAATGAATTTTTCTTCATTTATCGTCAACAGTCGCTCGCCAGTTGGCAAAATAAATGGAGTGAAGGAAGTTTGGGACGATGGCTATTCTCGATCATCCCTAAGGTGTCGAAGAGTCCTTGGTTCAAGGGGTTGGATGTGGGTCGAGACTTCATTCGTCTGATGCCTCGCCTCATGTCCAATCACTATTCATTAAACGCTCACTTGTTTCGTGTTGGGCTGGGAGACAGCAATCTCTGTGAATGTGGACAAGGTTACCAAGACGCCGATCACATCCTTTGGTCTTGTGCTGAGCATCGTGGAGTCAGATCTGAGCTGTGCGATTCCCTTCGGGCTCGAGGTAGACAACCTAATGTTCCAGTTCGGGATATTTTGGCTAGACGTGATCTGGAGTTTATGAAACTCATATATGTTTACTTTAAGAATACTAACCTTAGATTGTAAGTTTGATTAACCTTGTGTTTAGTTTGTGTATTGTGCGTGTAGTTTTTTTTTATGTTTGTCTTCAAGATGAATAGAAATAAGTTCATGTTTTAGGATTAATTAAATATTTGTATAATAAATCATATTTCAAACCTCCTTCTCCCTTTCCCCATCCAAAAAATTGTAAATCTCCACTAACCTCGAGACGACCGCGAGTAATCGGTTCAATTCCTTTAACTCTAGATTTAAGACATGAATCATGTATAATGCAAATGATAACTCGGCTCTGTAAAGTTTATTCAATTGAGCCTGTACAAATAAATTAATAAAAAAAAAAAAAAAAAAAAAAATTGTTCTCCGTGATGACTCATTTAAACGAGTAATCTCTTCGGCTCAATCGCATTCGGTTATATGCTTATTTTAATGTATATCGCTCATCCGGAAACATTTTCAAAATTCCGGGAAAATGCCGCTTGTTCTGCAGTTGAAATCGTCAAACGTGTTTTAACCACATTAAAAAAAGTGCATTGGAATAATTTCCCTTCACAGAATTCTTTTCAGGGTTACTCTAAAATAAATTAAGAATTCTCTCTGAGAGTCCCTTGAACATTCCTTTCAAAGGTAAGGGAGCAGATGAGTTTGCTGGTCGAAAGATCATATATGATTACCTTTGTATGGGTCCCAGCACATTGCTCAATCCCAGGCAATGAGAAGGCAGACTCTCTCGCAAAGGTGGGCGCACAACAAGGCGAGATGTATGATAGAAGAATTTCACATGATGAATTTTTCCCATTAGTACGTCAGAGTTCTTTTAAGTTGGCAAAACGATTGGACAAATAATTCTCTTGGGCGGTGGTTACATTCCATTATTCCAAATGTTTCTTCGAGAGCGTGGTTCAAAGGTCTGGATGTAAGTCGGGGATTCATTCGAGTGATGTCAAGACTTATGTCCAACCACTACTCGCTAGACGCACATCTCTATAGAATAAACCTCGTTGACAGCAATATATGTAGGTGCAGAACCGGTTATGATGACATCGATCACGCAGTTTGGTATTGCCCGGGTAATGACGCCTCCAGAGCACGTCTATTGGATACCCTAGTGGCCCGAGGTAGACAACCCTTCCGTGAAGTAAGAGATGTATTGGGAACACGTGATCTTCCCTACATGCAAGCGATCTACGAATTCCTTTGTTTGTCTGATGTTAGAGTTTGATGTGACTATCCCCTCCTTTCCAAACAATTTCCCGCCATTGTGTCCCAGTCTTATTATCCTCCTGTTCCTGTGCTACTTGCCCCTGCCCAGCCAGGATTTGGTCAACCGTCCGAGAGTAGTATCTGAAGACTTCAGAAACCAGTTTCCTACCTAGCTCCTTCCCATCGAAATTGTTACCCATTAACCTCGAGCCCGCCACGAGTAATTGCTACCCAATACTAACCTAGAACTACTGCTATTTAAAATGTAAAATCAAACATTACTGATTTTGGCTCCGCAAAGTGTCACACACGACTGAGCCTAGTAAATAAACGAACTAGTAAAAAAAAATAACATTTCAAAACATTCAAGTAACTTATCCTAAGATTCACTTCGAAAGAGTTCACTGAAGCTTCCTTTTATAATAATATTTAAAATTTGCCTGAGCTATCATTAGAATGGTCATACCGTTCACCTCAGAATTGTCTTACAATACAGCTTATAATAATGCTGGAACTCTTATCTAAATTCTTCTGAAAATTCACTTATAATTCTCCTTAGAATTCTTTAGACATTCTTTACGAGATGTCCTTGGAATTATTCTCGAAATTCTCAAAAAACTCATCTCATAACTGGTTAACTGGTCACCCTGTGAAGAGTGCTTCTCGTTAAAATTTGTAATGTTACTTGGGAGTCAGTTTAGTGAAACTGGACAAAAACTGGAGCACAAGTGCAATAACTGGCTCATTTACCCTATACATAAATATGCACTGCACAAAACAAAATACGAAATGAAATACGTTAAATTACATTTAAAAATTTAGAGAAGTGCTAAAACATTGGCATAATTCAGAGCTTAATTTTTTTTTTTCAAAGATCAACTATTTGGGAACAGGCCTTACCAGAGGTAACTAAAATAATCAATAGACAACATTTTTCGGGAAAAGTTGTCAAGTCTTTCGAGATCCGATCATATAATCTATGAAAGTATTAAATTTCAAGTTGTTATGAACACATTGGCAATGAGAATTCATCTGGGTTCGTACAGATTGACCTTTGCTAGGCTTTTGGAAACTGTATTATTTCCATAAATTCAAAGAAAATTTGGAAAATTTATACGATAAAAAATATCAATTTGATTGAAAATCAATTATTTCTACTTTTTACATGAAGTATTGAAATTATGTTGACCAGGTATTTGCTTTAGTTACTCCTCTGTGCGATGCTATAAAATAAATTTTGCGTCCAGATCCTAACTGGACGAATCTTCTAGGAATATATTTACTCAACCCTCCAATATTGAAAATTAAAGGTATTAATGAAGTCGATTTTTACCCTATACAATTTGAACCATTGCAAACAGAAATAGGATCACAGAACCTCTTGTGCCACTAAGATCACTAAAATGTATTTCTCCAAACAGTACTATCAGACAGGAGAAAATGTGATATTCTAAGAAACACATAAAATCAACATGTTAGTTACTGGAATCCGTATAATATCACAATGCCGGAATCTACAGAACTACAACAGATCGAAAGCGCGGTTAGTTGAGTGCAATTTACAACAGGGATCATTCCAATTTACAGCTTGATTCCATCCTTCTCGGCCTTGGCCACGTTCTTCTCGACATACTTGTTCTCTGGGTCGTACTTGGCCTTAAGGGCCTTCCATTCCTCCGGGCGGTTCTCGGTCAGGAACTTGATGGTCTTGGTGCTGGACTCATTCTGCTTCTCACTACACTTGGAACAATCGTTTTCCAGGGCATCGGGCAGGACACGCTTCAGCTCATTGCCCTCTGGGGTACAGGCTCCCATATCCATCAAGCAGTTGTAGTAGTTCTTGAACAGACGGTCCGACTTGAGGATCTCATCGATATCGACGCTATCGTACTTGGTGGTGTACTTGTCGTCTTGGGCAGCAGCCACGGCGAGCAGGGCCAGAGCAACGATGAAGAATTTCATTTTTGAGGATTTAATTTCAACTGAAATGGTAAGAAACGGTTAGTTGCTAGTTCGTAGGTCTTTTCGGACATCTAGACAGGTGTCCAATTTTAGGTTGAACCTGGACGCACCTGGAAGCTTGACGAAGTGCAAAACTGAACTATGATTATTTCGGGTTCCTCATCGGCTATATATAGCGGAAGGCTTCTTCGTGTTTTTCATCCCATGATATCATTAATCGCGAATTTTGTTCTATCATTATGTCTCCCACCCACCGCAATTTTATTTGCAGATTTTGCCACATCACATTCGTTGCTTTTTCGTTTGTTTAGAACTTGTATACCGTGAGTAGTCCAATTAATTTGCAAATAGTTATTAGGAATAGGTGACATTAAATTTGTTTACAATTTTCAAAACACGATTTTACTCTTAACGGGAAATTTTGTGTTTTCTATAAGCTATCGCACCAACGTTGTAACGCATTAAAATATTGATCGAATATTCCTCTCAAAATTATTGCAATCGGTCCATTTTAATTGATTAACATTCAGTCATTGGTTCTGGACATGAATGCACATAATCAATCCTAATTTGTGTTTCAAGAATTTTTCATCCGATAGGTTAAAAGCTACCAGAATTGTATGCAGGCAGACTATAAACAGACAAAGAAGAAACGAAGATGATGAAGCAGAAATAGCGAGATAGTCAATCCCGTAGGATGGAAGAAAGAAAAAATACCACCACTATATATAGCCGATGTGAAACCCGAAATAATCATAGTTCAATTCTGCACCTCTTCAAACATCAACGTGAGTCGAAGCGGATTCCTTTATATATTAACTTACAGGACCTACGAACTATCAACTAACCGTTTCTTTCCACTACAGATCAATATGAAATTCTTCATCGTTGCTCTGGCCCTGCTCGCCTTGGCTGCCGCCAAACCCCAAGACGACAAGTACACCACCAAGTACGATAGCATCGATATCGATGAGATCCTCAAGTCGGACCGTCTCTTCAAGAACTACTACAACTGCTTGATGGATACCGGAGCCTGCACCCCCGAAGGCAATGAGCTGAAGCGTGTCCTGCCCGATGCCCTGGAAAACGATTGCTCCAAGTGCAGCGAGAAGCAGAATGAGTCCAGCACCAAGACCATCAAGTTCCTGACCGAGAACCACCCAGAGGAATGGAAGGCCCTGAAGGCCAAGTACGACCCAGAGAATAAGTACGTCGAGAAGAACGTTGCCAAGGCCGAGAAGGATGGCATTAAGCTGTAAACTGGCACTGGAAAAATTGGAAACGGAACAAATGGAAGTCAACCACTTGCAAAGAAATTGGTTAAATTCGGCTGTTGCACCTTTTTGACACCACGACAATAAACGGATTTCAGTATCTTAATAGTTGGTTGTTGTACTTGTCACCAATATCACATTTGGACGCCGTTTTGGAAATGAATTTAGTTTGATTATTTGTCCTAATTTAGAGCAGCGTTTCTCAATCTATGGATCGCTACCAACTCGTAGATCACGGGCTACCCTCAGGTGGGTAGCATTTGAATCTTAAATTATGTAGGATAATCCAAATTGGCTACAGTAACAAAATATTAGATTTATTTTTTTTTTATTTTTTTGTTTTACGACTTGAATTTCAAATACAAAAAAATTAAAAAAATTAATCAATTTAAAAACATATATGGCAATGTTCTGATACTGATTCTTTCAAAACCTCTGAAAAGATTCTCTGAATATTTAGGATTCATGAGTAAAATTTATTATTATGACGTTTAAAAAATTATTAATCATTTTGTTGTTTTAAAATTATTTATAAATGGCAATGGCATCATTCAACAGTTCCATGTCAAATAGTTAAAGATATGAATTCTGAGCTACGTCAAGTTTCTAAGGCGCTTTCTGCTACGTCAAGTTTCTAAAGCGAAAATACACTCCGCAGGATATCAAATTGTACTCCTTAGAAAAAAATAAATTCTACAACCTTAGATCTGAAGTCGCAATGAAGTCCTTCATCCATCTCATGCTTAGCCTTGCTTACCTCAGCGATGTGTTCATTGAACCTCGTTTTCGAAGTCTTTTTAGTTTGACCAACGTAGATATCATCACAATGTGGACAAGAATTGTGTAGATACCGGCTTTTCCCAAGACATTTATTGGGTCCTTTGTTGATCCCTACAACGATTTCAGCTGATTATTCGTGCTACTTAATACTTAATCTCCTGAACTTCAAACTCAACGGTTTAGTAATATGTGTGTCACAATTCACGGCTTCTCGTTTCAAAGATTTATACCCTGGTGTAAGAGTTATCATAGTCCGTCTTGTTGATTTTGCCTGATTAGTTCTGTCTTGATACCAATTAACCTTCCTAGTGAATTTTTCCTTGAAGGTTACACCTTGCTATTTCAAAATTATGAACCATTTCCTTCGATTTACCTATATCGCAAAAGGGAAGAGTTAACATCCTTAGAATCATGTGATAAAAATCGGCCATTTTGTGTTGATGAGAGTGGATTGGATAGCTTGGAATTACTCACTTGGTGTTCGTTGGTTCGTTGGTCGTTGTTTCCCTGTAGATTTCGAAATCGTCAACCGTCATCTTCTTCGTGAGAGAACTTGATATCCTTGTGAATACTGTTTATGGCCTCCAACATTTTTGATGAATCTTTCCTTTTGACAATTCTGAAAAATGTCGTCGGCGTACCTACACCAACGCTTGGGCAACAAATTTCCATTCTTCAAAATATTTTCAAAACATGAACAGCACATTTAGGCAGTTTACAAAAATTCTCTTTAAAAATTAAGTAATTTTCCTCCAAACAAAGACAAGCAAGCTCGAGATACGACCGAAGTTGAATGTTCCTAGTAGCATCCCTAATTTTCCAGGAGACTGTAACAGTACACATCTTCCCGAATAATCTCCTGATGCCTGAAATTGACTTGCGAAATCCTGTGTACTCTTAACTGACCGACTTGGAAAGGGCTTATAGTACGTTCAGACTACAGAGTTATAGATACATGTTATAGCGCTATCTTAATGGTTGTTTATGTGTTGCAATTATTTGAAAACCGTTATAACATGTTATAACTGTCCAGTCTGGACAGCGTTTTAGGCATATTTTGAAATTCCTTTACTAACCATTTAGCAAGTTTAGGAGTGGGAAAACTTTCTGCCAAGATTATATCCATAATTTCCCACTGCAGCTAATAGTTTTTCAATACTCATCTCTTGCATCATTCTTAATTATCGAAAAGCTGTGATGATGACGTTACTGGAAAAAAATGCTTTAAAGCACTTAGAAAAAATGTGATATTCTTGTCAAAACTCAAAAAATCATTATTTTAGTTACTGGAATCCGTATAATGTCACAATGTCGGAATCTACAGAACTACAACTGATTGGAGGCGTGGTTATTTGATTGCAAAACGAAAAGCATTCATCAGGATCATAGCGTGTGTTCGATTTCGGTCTCATGCGATGGGTATCATTCCAATTTACAGCTTGATTCCATCCTTCTCGGCCTTGGCCACGTTCTTCTCGACGTACTTGTTATCGGGGTCGTACTTGGCCTTCAGGGCCTTCCATTCCTCTGGGTGGTTCTCGGTCAGGAACTTGATGGTCTTGGTGCTGGACTCATTCTGCTTCTCGCTGCACTTGGAGCAATCGTTTTCCAGGGCATCGGGCAGGACACGTTTCAGTTCATTGCCCTCTGGGGTGCAAGCTCCCATATCCATCAAGCAGTTGTAGTAGTTCTTGAACAGACGGTCCGACTTGAGGATCTCATCGATATCGACGCTATCGTACTTGGTGGTGTACTTGTCGTCCTGGGCAGCAGCCACGGCGATCAGGGCCAGAGCAACGATGAAGAATTTCATTTTCGAGGATTCGATTTCAACTGAAATGGTAAGAAACGATTAGTTGAAGTTCGATGGTCCTTTTAGGACATCTAGAAAGAAATCCAATTTGGGATTGGACCTGGACTTACCTTGATGTCTGATGAAATGCAGAACTGAACTATGCTTATTTCGGATTCCCCATCGGCTTATATAGCGGTGGGTTTCTTCTTGTTTCCATCCCACGGGATATTCAATCACGAATGTTGTTCTTTCTTTCTCCCACCAGCCGCAATTTTTTTTTTCTAGTGCTGCCACTTCACATTCGTTGCTTTTTCGTCTGTCTACAATCTGTCTACCTTCGACTGCCTAATTAATTCGCTAATCACTTGAATCTTTTCATTTTAATATTGCAATGTTGATACGAATTACCAAAATGCAATGAACCGGTCTTCAGGATGGTGCAATGATTTTGTGAATAATGCAATTTCAGAAATAAGCAACCTGCCAAAAGTGAACCTCAAAGCTGTGGAAGAATTTGCATTGTGCGGTTCACGCTTGGTAGGATGCCGATTTTAGATATTGTATTTTCGCTAAAACTATTGAAATATCCAAATCTCGTTGCATTTTTGTGATGAATTCAACATCAACAATAAATTATCAGATTCAAAAGGTTCTAACAAAGATTTGCAAGTCAATTAGACTGTATACAGCTTACACGTTATAGACAGATGAAAAAGAACCGAATGTGAAACGGCAAAAATGAAAAAAAAAAAATCGCGATGAGTAAAAGATAGAAGGAACAACATTCGCGATTGTTGATCCCATGGGATGTAAACAAGAAGAAACCTTCCGCTATATATAGCCGATGAGGAATCTGAAATAAGCATAGTTCAATTTTGCACTTCGTCAAGCATCAAGGTAAGTCCAGGTTCAACCTTAAATTGGACACCTGTCTAGATGTCCTAAGGGATCCTACAAATTAACCAATTTCTGCCATTTCAGTTGAAATCGAATCCTCGAAAATGAAACTCTTTATCGTTGCTCTGGCCCTGATCGCCGTGGCTGCTGCCCAAGACGACAAGTACACCACCAAGTACGATAGCGTCGATATCGATGAGATCCTCAAGTCGGACCGTCTGTTCAAGAACTACTACAACTGCTTGATGGATATGGGAGCCTGTACCCCAGAGGGCAATGAACTGAAGCGTGTCCTACCCGATGCCCTGGAAAACGATTGCTCCAAGTGCAGCGAGAAGCAGAATGAGTCCAGCACCAAGACCATCAAGTTCCTGACCGAGAACCACCCAGAGGAATGGAAGGCCCTGAAGGCCAAGTACGACCCCGATAACAAGTACGTCGAGAAGAACGTGGCCAAGGCCGAGAAGGATGGAATCAAGCTGTAAATTGGAATGATACCCATCGCATAAGACTGAAATCGAACAAACGCTATGATCCTGATGAATGCTTTTCGTTTTGCAATCACATAACCACGCCTCCAATCAGTTGTAGTTCTGTAGATTCCGACATTGTGACATTATACGGATTCCAGTAACTAATATGTTGACTATTGTGTGTTTCTAAAAATATCACTTTATTTCCTGAATGATGTTTCATGCATCAAGCATCACATTTCTTCAACATCGATTATTATTATGAATTGGGTTGTTAGTGGAATACTCACAAGATTAAAAAAAGGTCGTTATTTTCCATTTAATTCCACTTGGTATTTTGAATACATGACAAATCTTCATCAGTTTCATTCCCACACATCAATTATTTTCGTAACGTTTCAATATTATACATAACATTGATATAGCAAATGTACGCTTTTAAATATTGTCAATCCAGAGAAAAAATGGCATTGCATTTAACAACCACACCATGCTCGGAAATGCAATGCTATTTGTTCTCTGGATTGCCAATAATATACTCTCAATTCCAAATTTTTTGATTTCCTTTTTCAAAGGGACGTATCTGATTTTGTAAACAAAGATTCAATCGTCAATTCGTCGAAAATCTTAGCACTCTCATGCAAACTAACATCACCATCAGAAAGAGTAATGTTTCGCCAACAAGATGGTGTTGTTAGTTTACTTTTGTTTACAAAAGCACATACGTTCCATTGAAAACGTAATCGAGAGTTGAAGAAATTTCCTGATTCATCTTTTTATATTTCCCAGCGATGATTAGTTTCATTTCCCACACGTTAGTACAGTTAGATCTCGATTATGACAGCTCGACACTAAGACCTTATATCCAAAAGTACACAACGCTATTGGTTTCTTATTTTTTTTAATAATTAAAATTTTAGAATGGCAACGAACGGACTTACAGGAAAACAATTTCAATATTTGTATAGAAACGCATCAAAAGGCAAAAACTACATGTTACTTAAATCGAAATTTCTCCGTTTTCCGCACGAACAAATCGCCTGCCAAATCATGAATTTCTTAGGGAATTTCGACACTTACTGTTTCCTGAGGGAATCTGAAACATCGAACTTGTCTTTCGCACTCACATCCTGGTTTCCCGGAATTTGTTTGATGTCCGCCTTTACGTATATTTCATCGTCCATGATACAGCAGTGTGGTTTTGTCAACATTTGTGTGTATAGCTTCCCAAGTAACAATTTTGGTTTTATGAGGGTTCTGTACACCATGATTTAGACTTGTAGAATGCTATAAAACCGCGATAAAACCTGCAATGTTACTTGGGTTACGTGCCCGCGTTCTAGTTCTCCTATTATGTCATTCATTGCGGTTTGGTGCTTTCTGAACCTGAATGAACGTAGACCTGCTCGCAGGCATGGCAAATCATTTACATTCATTTCGTGCATTCAGTTACATTCATTTGCCTCTAACTTTTTCCACCAACAGAATTCCGTTAAATGATGTATGAAACTTTTGTAGGTTTTAATAATAACTACAACTTTTGTCGATAACTTAAATCTGTACCTCTTATGTATGACGAACTAGAGCGTACCGAAATTGTTACTATTTTTCAGTGAATGTAATTTAAATTCACTGAAAAACGTAGATAAGTTCTGTTCGCCCTGGATCATCGTGCATAAGACATACAGATTTGAATTATTCAAAAAGGTTGTAGTTAATATCAAAACCTACAAAAGCTTCACACATCACTTCATGGAATTCTGTTGATGAAAAAAGTTAGAGGCAAATGAATGTAAATGAATGCACGTAATGAACGTAAATGATTTTCCATGTCTGCCTGCTCGTTTCTTGGCTTTCTAGATGAAAATTATTGTCAATCACAGTTTTTTTTTTTCAAAACAACACGTACGGAATAGTTGGGTTTGCATTTGAAGGCAGTAACCACTCGCTTGCGATCTTCAACACAGTATGGAACACTTTTTCTTGCACTCACTAGCTTCCGATCGACAGTTAAACGTTCTCCGAAACGTTTTATGACACGAGAAACAGTAGATTGTTGGATTTCCAACATCTTTCCGATGGCTCGGTGCGAAAGATGTGGATTATTGAGGTGAGTGTGCAAAATTTTCTCACGCACGCGCTGTTTCTTCGACTTCATTTTCAAAACTACTAAAAATTTCACAATTAAACTCACGCAGTGTAAACAATACACGCTGAGACCATCTCCAACAAAATTTTATCAAAAAAACCCAAAGGGCAAAATGTTACAGCTTTTTGAAAGTGATGCAATTTAGGGCAGCTAGTAAAGGAGCTGATTACTGCAGCTATGGTCAAATTTAAAGTATCAATTGTGTCAGTGTAGTTTCAGAACATTTTGTATTTTTGGTAAGCTTTCAACTAAGCATGTTCAAAACGTAGTGTAAAATGGGTCGCTTAAAATACCTTTTTTACCACTTTTTAGAGGATCTGTTAAAAAACATAGTTCAATGTCTGGACTAGCAGTGCTTCATGATAAATTCACGAAAATATATTGAAAATAATTTTAAAATTTGTATAAAGTTATCTCACCCCATCTTAACCTATTATTTTATTATTGAAGTTTTAACAGTTTCTTCCCAGTTTTGACAAAAGTTTGTAATTATCAACAGTTTTTATTATTATTATTATTATTTTTTTTTTTTGAAAAGGCAATCCAGTTTCCAAAAACTTTGTCACAGACGTCATATCAAAGATATGAACCGTTTTCGTACTATGACTTATTGAAAAATATCTAACACGTCATTTTGTAAAATTAAGCGTGAGCTATGGCCAAATTCCGACACAATTTTGGTCCTTTGCCCCTAGTGAACAATTATGCTATACTTCATGGAATTTGGAGAGGGAAAAATACAATCGATTTGTCAGTTGGCGTGGAACTGCTCGAATATTAATGTCCCATGCATCGAAAAATTGGTATTGTAAGAGGAGACCCAAGAGCATTAAAAAGGAAATTCTGAGCAAAAATCTAAATGAACTCGGAGGACAATTCCAAGGGATTTCTAACCACAGTTTCAAAAAAAAGCTGGGTCTCCTGAGATCTCAAACTTAAAAAGTTTTCAATTCGCTGGACATAGAAAACAAGTAACAAAAATAAGAAGTCCAGCATTAAAAAAAAAATATTTGTGTTTATTTTTCCAGGCTCATTTGCCGTAGTTTTGCGGAGCCGATATTCATCGTTTGGGTTACAAAATTACTTAAAACTAACATTAGTAAAACGGAGGCCGATTACTCGCTGCTATCTCGAGGTTAGGGGTAACAAATTGTAACAAACGGATGGCAGGGTAGGGATAGAGAACACAAGGTTTTTTCGAGCAATGTGCTCTTGATCTCGAACTAAACGACATACTGATGAAAAAGACAAACATGGGGGTACATCGATGGGCAGCTAACAACTTGGGAGAACACAAGATGACACTAACTACTAAATCCTTAAATCGATCCATTTTAAAAACACATAAATTAAATTTAAATAGTCGAGATCTCGGCGAGTAGTGATTCGACATGAGCCTTGACATGACACGTACAAAGTCACGACTCATATCTAATCCTTTGAACCACGGCTTTTTCGATACCTGTGGGAGAATAGAATGTAGCCATCTTCCCAGATCACTGTCATTCTATTTTTGTTGCCAGTTGGTGAGGACTTGCTGACGAGTAATTGATAAAAATTCCGCAAAGGCGATTTGTCGATCAAAAATATCGCCTTCCATAGCGCCCACCTTAGCTAGCGAGTTACCTTTCTGATTACCCGGAATTCATACTATAGGAGCAGTTAGATAAAGCACTCAGTTTAGATCGTTTTTCAGGCAGGAAATACGAGGAGTGCTTCATCGGCTTCATTGAACGAATAGCCTCCAATGAGCTAAGCCTATCCGTAAAAATGAAATAGTGGTCAGAGGTTAGTGAGGCAATTCGCTCTACTGCGTAGAATATGGCTGCTTATTCCGCAACATATACAGAACAGGGTTTTGCAGTTGATATGAGGCGCTATGAAATTCGTTGAATACTCCAAATCCAGTGGAAGCGTTTATAGTTGACCCATCTGTGAAAAAAACTCTTATTTTTACAAAAAAAATAAGTGGACAACCATCGACCATTAGTGATCTGGTTTCCACGTAACATGGTCAGATCAAAATTTACAGAGGAACTGAAAAAGTCTTGCAGGCAAACACGAGTGGAATTGAATGAAGAAGGGCCAATCTCCAGCGTCATGTACTCGTAATAGAGACTCATGAATCTTGTTTGAGGATTTCTGTCGAGCAGCTTCTCAAAGTTTTCTATTACCAATGAGTTCATTACTTCACAACGGATAAGAAACCGGAAGGACAGTTCCGCGAAACGATCTGTCAGTGGGAGAACCGTACTCGAGAACAGACAAGACCGGTTGTTCGATACAACCTGATCAGATCTTCCGGGTGTGCTCCCTACCAAGTTCCGGTTATTTTGCGAAGAAAATTGATTCTTTGTTGGCACTTTTGTTTCACATACGCAATATGTTTTCCCCACGTGCTTTTGGAATCGAACCAGACACCTAAATACTTGAAAGATATAGTTTGAGTGATTGTTCTACCCTTTAGTTGAAGCTGTAACTGTGCAGGATGATGCTTCCTAGAAAAAAACAACCAACTAAGTTTTCTCCAGTGAGAATTCGATACCTAGCTTCATAGCCCAAGTAGACAAATTGTAAAAGGTATCTTGCATTGGACAAGACCCATGTAACTAATTCGTGAAGTTGTCAAGTTTCCATGAGAGAAGCTCATATATTTCTCAGACAACAAGTTGCTCAAATAGTTGTTCATAATTGGTGAAAGCCCACTATCGTGGAGTTTATCCGAAAGGACGTCGATACAAACAGAATCAAAAGCCCCCTTAAGTCCAAGAAAACTGAACCCATTTGCTGTTTTTGCGCATAGGCCAGTAGAATTTCAGTTGAAACGCAAGACAGTCGCTCTCCTGGAACGTCTTTGCGTAGGAAACATCCTTCCCCTTGGTGGGACCAGCAATGCACTGAGGTTTATCGTAAAAAGTCCGACGCGTTTAAGCTTTTCTGGAAACGTGGAACACCCGTGAATTTCGAAGCGTACTCTTCTCTTGAACGCGAACTCAAGAGCCTCATCAAAGCCA